TAATGTGCGCAAGACAATCAATGTGATACACCACATTAACAGACTGCAGAAGAAAAACCATATGATTCTCTCAATAGATGCTGAGAAAGCATTTGATAAAATACAACACCCGTTCATGATGAAAACTCTAAGCAAACTGGGTTTGGAAGGAACATTCCTCAATACAATCAAAGCAATCTATGAAAAACCCACAGCCAACATCCTATTGAATGGGGGAAAGTTGGAAGCATTTCCACTGAGATCTGGAACCAGACAGGGATGCCCACTCTCACCACTGCTATTCAATATAGTTTTGGAGGTTCTAGCCAGAGCTATTAGGCAAGAAAAAGAAATTAAAGGGATACAAATTGGGAAGGAAGAACTCAAACTATCCCTCTTTGCAGATGACATGATTCTGTATTTAGGGGACCCAAAGAACTCTACTAAGAGACTATTGGAACTCATAGAAGAGTTTGGCAAAGTAGCAGGGTATAAAATCAATGCACAAAAATCAACAGCCTTTGTATACACAGACAATGCCATGGCTGAGGAAGAACTTCTAAGATCAATTCCATTCACAATAGCTACAAAAACAATCAAATACCTTGGAATAAACTTAACCAAGGACGTTAAAGATCTCTACGATGAGAATTACAAAACCTTAAAGAAAGAAATAGAAGAGGATACCAAGAAATGGAAAAATCTTCCATGCTCATGGAGTGGAAGAATCAATATCATCAAAATGTCCATTCTCCCAAAAGCAATTTATAAATTCAATGCAATACCAATCAAGATACCGAAGACCTTCTTCTCAGATCTGGAAAAAATGGTGCTGAAATTTATATGGAGGCACAAGAGACCTCGAATAGCTAAAGCAATCTTGTACAACAAAAACAAAGCCGGAGGCATCACAATACCAGATTTCAGGACATACTACAGGGCAGTTGTAATCAAAACAGCATGGTACTGGTACAGAAACAGATGGATAGACCAATGGAACAGAATTGAAACACCAGAAATCAACCCAAACATCTACAGCCAACTTATATTTGATCAAGGATCTAAAACTAATTCCTGGAGCAAGGACAGTCTATTCAATAAATGGTGCTGGGAAAATTGGATTTCCACGTGCAGAATCATGAAGCAAGACCCCTACCTTACACCTTACACAAAAATCCACTCAACATGGATTAAAGACCTAAATCTACGACCTGACACCATCAAGTTACTAGAGAACATTGGAGAAACCCTTCAAGATATTGGCACAGGCAAAGAATTTCTGGAAAAGACCCGGGAGGCACAGGCACTCAAAGTCAAAATCAACTATTGGGATTGCATGAAATTGAGAAGTTTCTGTACTGCAAAAGAAACAGTCAGGAGAGTGAAGAGACAACCAACAGAATGGGAAAAAATATTTGCAAACTATGCAACAGATAAAGGGTTAATAACCAGAATCTACAAAGAGATCAAGAAACTGCACAAAAACAAAACCAACAACCCACTTAAGAGATGGGCCAAGGACCTCAATAGACATTTTTCAAAAGAGGAAATCCAAATGGCCAACAGGCACATGAAAAAATGTTCAAGGTCATTAGCAATCAGGGAAATGCAAATCAAAACCACAATGAGGTTTCACCTCACCCCAGTTAGAATGGCTCACATGCAGAAATCTACCAACAACAGATGCTGGCGAGGATGTGGGGAAAAAGGGACACTAACCCACTGTTGGTGGGAATGCAAACTGGTCAAGCCACTATGGAAGTCAGTCTGGAGATTCCTCAGAAACCTGAAAATAACCCTACCGTTCGACCCAGCCATCCCACTCCTTGGAATTTACCCAAAGGAATTTAAATTGGCAAACAAAAAAGAGGTCTGCACCCTAATGTTTATTGCAGCTCAATTCACAATAGCTAAGACCTGGAACCAACCTAAATGCCCATCAACGATAGACTGGATAAAGAAATTACGGGATATGTACTCTTTAGAATACTATACCGCAGTAAGAAACAATGAAATCCAGTCATTTGCAACAAAATGGAGGAATCTGGAACACATCATGCTGAGTGAAATAAGCCAGTCCCAAAGGGACAAATACCATATGTTCTCCCTGATCGGTGACGACTGAATGAACACCAAGAGGGAAACCTGTTGGAGTGAGGTGGACACTATGGGAAATGGTGGCTTGATCAGCATAGCCCTGACTGTTAATGAACAACTAAATACATTATCCCTCTTAGTAGTTTTTTTATCTGTTCTACTTAATATGACTGGTTTAGATCTGTAATTGATACACAGTTATTCTTAAGTGTTGAAAATTAACTGAAATGTGATCCCTGTTGAACATGGTGGTGGGAATGGGAGAGGGAAGAGATGTATAATTTGGGACATGCTCAGGCTGACTTGCCCCAAGTGGTGGAGTTGGAAGCATACCAGGGGATTCCAATTCAATCCCATCGAGGTGGCATGTACCAATGCCATCTCACTGTTCCAGGTGATCAGTTTCAGTTCACAGTTGGTCATGGTGAAGGGACTGGGAGTCAAAGGGAGCACATAGACAAGTCTAGTACCTGCTAACGCTAACTGATGGAGTAAATAAAGGGGAGAGTGATCCAACATGGGAAGCGAGATACTCAGCAGACTCATAGAATGGCGGATGTCCTAAATAGCACTCTGGCCTCAGAATCAGCCCTAAAGGCATTCGGAGCTGGCTGAAAAGCTCATGAGAGTATTTCAGGCATGGAAAGCCAAGACACTCTGGCAAAAGATCTCTGCGAGTGAGATCCCAGTGGAAAGAACAGGTCATCGAAGAAGGAGGTACCTTTCTCTGAAGGGAGGAGAGAACCTCCACTTTGACTATGACCTTGTCTAAACAAGATAAGAGTCGGAGAACTCAGAGGGCTTCCATAGCCTTGGAAACTCATGACTGGAGCAGAGGGAGATTACTGATGCCATAAACAGGAGTGTCAATTGGTAAAGTCAACAACAGGAGTCACTGTGCACTTACTCCTCATGTAGGATCTCTATCCTTAATGTGCCGTACATTGAGATTTAATGCTATAATGAGTACTCAAACAATATATTTCACTTTGTGTTTCTATGGGGGTGCAAACTGTTGAAATCCTTACTTAATGCATACTAAACTGATCCTCTGTAGAAAAAAACAAAAAAAAAAAGAGAAATTATCAATTCCCAACTTGACTTCTCACTGGGATAAACATGACAATAGGTCTGCTCTGATTTCATCATAATTTAAAAAAAATCATCTATTATTTTTCACTTTATGTTTCTGTGTGGGAGCAAACTGTTGAAATCCTTACTTAATGTATACTAAGCTGATCTTCTGTATATTAAGATAATCGAAAATGAATCTTGATGTGAATGGAAGGGGAGAGGGAGTGGGAAAGGGGAGGGTTGTGGGTGGGAGGGACGGTATGGGGGGGAAGCCATTGTAATCCATAAGTCGTACTTTGGAAATTTATATGCAGTAAATAAAAGTTTAAAAAAAAAAATTTGAAACTACTAAAAGACATAGTGGATATAGATCAAAATATTGGATTGGGCAATGATTTTTTAAAATATTCATTGTATCTACTTGAAAGTAAGAATTAGAGGGGTGGGGTAGAGACAGAGAGATCTTTCATCTGCTGTTTCACTCCCCCAAATTGCTGTAACAGAGAAGACTGGGCCAGACCAAAGCCAGGAACTTTTTCTAGGTCTCTCACGTGGGTGCAGGGACCTATCACTAGGGTCATCTTCCACTGTTTCCCCAGGCACATTAGCAGGGAGCTGGATTGGAGGTGGAGCAGCCAGGACTCTAACCAGCACCCATATGGGATGCTGATGTTACAGGTGGTGGCTTTAACTGCTTCACCACAACACTGGACCCAATTTCATTTTTAGAAGATCCCAAAACTACGGAGGAAAAAAAATAGACTTAATGAAACTAAAGGCTTCTGGATAGCAAAGGAAATAATGAACTAAGAGGCAGCTTACAGAATGAGAACAAATCTGCAAGTTATACATCAGACAAGGACAGTTTATCACATTACCTAGTGATTTAGTTAAGTGCATGGCCCATGTGAACAGCCCTCATGCTTACTGACTTAGCTAGAAAGGCTCACAAACCCTTGTGGATAGATATCAGAATCCTGGAGGACATTTAAAAAAATTCCTGGGAGCTTATCACAGATCTATGAAGTGAGTCTTTTCACCAGAGAGAGACAGACATGGGTAGTGATAGGTAGGAAACTCTATGCTTGGAACTACCTCCACTGTTTCCAAGCATTTATCAGCTATACAATATATATTAACCAGATTTATTTTGTAACATTGGATTACTTTAATCCCTATAATATCTGATCCAGGAACAAATGATGGCAAACATATTCTGATCCCACCAGTGCTCTGCTGTCAGCATGGCAGTTATATAGAATACACATGCTGATTTGAAATAGGTTGAGGAACTGGATGATGAACATAAATTCCTGGTAGCAGAATAACCTTGACATAGCCAAGGATAACTGCTCACCATTTTCTTATGAATTATTTAAAAATAAAGAAAATCAATTACTAGCTCCTTATCTAATTAATTCTAAATGTTATTGACAGCCATGATCAATACAAAAGGAAACGACAACAGTTAAAGCTATAAAAAAAAGGGGTAGGGGGCCGGTGCCACGGCTCACTAGGCTAATCCTCCGCCTTGCGGCGCCAGCACACCGGGTCCTAGTCCCGGTCGGGGCGCCGGATTCTGTCCCAGTTGCCCCTCTTCCAGGCCAGCTCTCTGCTGTGGCCAGGGAGTGCAGTGGAGGATGGCCCAAGTGCTTGGGCCCTGCACCCCATGGGAGACCAGGAGAAGTACCTGGCTCCTGCCATAGGATCAGCGCAGTGCGCTGGCCGCAGTGCACCAGCCAAGGCGGCCATTGGAGGGTGAACCAATGGCAAAAGGAAGACCTTTCTCTTTGTCTCTCTCTTTCCCTGTCCACTCTGCCAGTCCAAAAAAAGGGGGGGGGGGGTTGGGATTTGGTGCTATTTGGGTTGATTACATTCTACATCATAGCACCTGGTTCAAATTCCAGTTCCTCTGCTTCTGGTCCAGCTTCCCCCTAATGTGCATCTAAGGAGGTATCAGGTGATAGCTTATAAACCTGGTCCACTGCCCCCACCCCCCACATAAGAGACTTGGATAGAGTTCTAGGCTCCTGGCATCAGCCTGGCCAAGGCCCAACTTTTGCAAGCATTTGGAAAGTGAACCAGGGGATGGAGGATTCTCTCTCTCTGTTTCTCTATGTCTCTCTGCTTTTTAAATAAAATGAAAATAAATAAACTAAAACTGTTTACTGGACATGGGATCTGACTGAAGAATTATGTCTTCATGCTCACATTGAAACATGGAAATACTGAGTAAGGAAAAATTAGACTTGGCAGAAGTAATCAACGCTAAAAATTGCCAACAGCGAAATTGATCCATGTAAAATTTTATTATTACATAAAATTGACAGAAGAATCAATTTTTTACTAATTCATGTGAATAATTTGAACTGAGATTCTTAGAGTTGCTCTGAAAAAGCTTGCATGAATGATGGAAAAAAGACAAGAGACATTCAAATATGCTTTCTAGAGAGTGTCTGAAGATTAAATGGCCTTTTTCCCTCTTATTTTACCAACCCAAGAGGTTATAAATTTTCCCTTGCCCACCTATTGGTGTTCTTATTGAAACGTGCCTTCCTTATTTCCATTATTTATATAGAATTTATCTAATTTGGGTTTGTTTTTACATACAGACACTGACTGGTAGGAAAGCATAATAAAATATTATGAGTTGTAGTTTATACTTGGCCTGCAGTATTTTAGCTCATAAATTGTCCAAATAAAAAAAGATGAGTATAAAGAAGACAATTTTTCTTGATAATTACTACACCTGTGAGTTATAATGTGTGGCTTCTAATGGAGTTGGGAAGGGGCAGATTTGGAAGGAGTTTATAGGTGAGTTTATAGGCAAAACATCATCAGTAAAATTTACAGGAAAGAATTTATCCAAGACAGAGGGAACACCTATATGAGGGACACCTTGTACCACAGGACTATAGATAACATAAGGTCAGTGGTTTAGACAAAGGTTCTGAGAATGAACTCCCTTCTCAAAATTAACCTTGAAGCTTTGAATGCCCTGTTGATAGGGATAAGGGCATGGAGACTGGTATGGCTTCAATACGCATTTGCTCTGAATGCTTATGGTCTGCCTACTGCCCAACAATTGAACTACCTTTATCTTTCAAAGAGCATTGAATACCTCCTAACTTTTAAATCAAAGTCTTTCTCTAAGCCATTAATCTCTTTTTCTAGCTTTTGACATTACCAACCATTCTCTCACCTCTTGGCTTCTACTCTATGTTATTTTTATAATTCAAATTATACATCTCTTTCTTGATCTTATAACACCACTTCTTTCATAATTCATTTGGTCACTATTTACTCCAAGAGGCAGTCTTAAAAAAAACTTAAAACACTGATGATAAAAGAAGTGGGAATGGTTGTGAGGTCTAGAGTTAATGGTCTCCACCACAGGTAATCATTTTACTCTGATTTGTTCAGTGTTCTTCATTAAATCTATTTGATGATATGTGTAGCGGCTTCCTAAAGAAAAAGGGTATCTATCTCCTACCTCAGATTTTAATGAAAATGCTAAAGAAAAATGATTTTTAATTATTTTATTAAATATAGAACATAGTTATTCCCAGAGATGAAATGAAGATACCTTGACCTTTGCATCTGCAGTCTCAACCACTATTTTTCCATCATTTTTCATTCCTTTAATCTCAACCACAGCATAAATGTTCTTATAACCATGAACCAAGCATTTTTTCTTTCCTATAGAGAAGAAAATGGATTGTAGCTATAGTATTGTACAAATACACATTGCACACTTTCATACTGATAGATGTGTCATTTCTTAAGTCTGATTGTTCTCTTGGAGTCACCAATACAGGAAATTGCGAAGTTAGATAATATCAAGAAAGCATATTCTGAAGATACAGCCACACAATGACCTAATAGAAACAAGAAACATCCTAGCAAGCAGGGGTTTGTGAACACCAAGACTGCTTTGCTGCAAGATACTCGTTAACACCTGCTGCAACCTTCTACAATGCCCAAAACACACACCCTAACACTTAACTCCACTGAAGACTCCAAACAGTTTCCCTGGTGCTCACACCCCTTTCCCCCCTTAAAATCATATTCAGAAAGGTCTGATGACAAGTGAAAATGCAGGTTCATGTTCATATCCTTTAGAATTTCTTTAGATCTCAAGTTTAGTCTTGCTTGGAATAAGGGTCTTCCTAAGAGAATGAAATGGTAGAATTGAAGGAGTGCTGAAGAGATAGAATGTGGTTTACTTTTGTGATACAACTTAACCAACTCATATTATTTCCTCCAATACATTTTTTTCCTTTTTTCAGCCTCCTTGCCTCCATGCCTCATCCCTAAGCCATGGAGCCCTCCCTCCACAAAGTGATCAACCAATAAGCTCTTCTTGGCCTCACTTCAGTAACTCTCAGGTTCTCTCCACCCGAGGCCAACAGCCAATGAAGATGATTAAGAAATACACTTTGAAAGAAAAATTAGTCTTATCAGAAATTTGCAGAAATCCCAGAGTGACCCTTCAGACATGGAGGGGAAAATGTCTTGGAAAAGGAAAAATCCTAGCCTGTGGCAACCATAGAACTAACAGGGAGTACCAGCTCAGTCACAGCCATAGCCACAACCACTAAAACATGAATCACAGAGGCTAGAGTATCCCTCCCGGCCCGCATCAGAAGATGTTTTCCCCCAGGATGGGCAATGGGGCTGGGGAAGGAATATGTGCCCAGGAGTAGAAGGTGGGCACCATTAGCCCCCCCCCTTTTTTTTTCTTTTTGACAGGCAGAGTGGACAGTGAGAGAGAGAGACAGATAGAAAGGTCTTCCTTTTTGCCGTTGGTTCACCCTCCAATGGCCGCCCCGGCTGGCACACCACGCCGATCCAATGGCAGGAGCCAGGTACTTCTCCTGGTCTCCCATGGGATGCGGGGCCCAAGCACTTGGGCCATCCTCCACTGCACTCCCTGGCCACAGCAGAGAGCTGGCCTGGAAGAGGGGCAACCGGGACAGAATCCAGTGCCCCGACCGGGACTAGAACCTGGTGTGCCGGCGCCGCAAGGCGGAGGATTAGCCTAGTGAGCCGCGGTGCCCGCTACCATTAGCCCCTTCTTCCAACGAGCTTGTGTCTGCAAAGAATTTTGGTGCTCACTTCTTTCTTGTTATCACAATCTACAATGTGTTGCTTTCTACACTTTGCTGATTACAAACAATTCACTAAATTGCTTGGCAAGAGGATCTTAAATTCCCATCTAGCTGATTGTGTATTTGCTTTCTCTTTATCGTTTGTGTTTTAAATATTGGCTTTTCAGCACTGATAGTTCAGGAATTGGGTTTCTGTCACCCACATGGAAGATCTGGATTGAATTCCTACTTTCTTTTTTTGGCTTTGGCCTCAGCTCAGCCCCAGCCACAAGTGGGCTTTTGGAGAGTGTACCAGTGAAAGAGAGAATTTCTATCTCTGCCTACCAAGTAAATAAACATACTAACTGCATTTTGCTTATTATATCGATATCTTTTGTGAAAACTGATTCTGCTTTGTATTATGTCTATGAAAAAATCACCTGTTTTTCTTTAATATACCCATTTAGCACACATGTTGTATGCATGTGTTCAAGGAAAATGCTCTGTACTTTAAACCAAATACCATCACTTGAAAGTACCATGAAGATTACCTGGTATATCCTTCTCCCACCCCCCTCAGAAAAAGAAACTGGGAAGAGAGTTCTTGCCTCTACCTAGCCACATTAGCATCAGTGTTCCTCTATGCACCAGAGCATGTGTCCTCTAACATATGCTTAGCCTTTATTCCTTCAATTCTTCTCTTAAAGAGCAAGCTCACAAGCCTGCCCCACAATGAGATTTTCCTTTCATCACCTTTGAAAATACTTGGTGGGAGAGAAGACACATCAGACCCCTTCTTCTATGGGGTGTGGCCCATGACAGAGACATTTGGAAAATGAGGTAAATTATATCAGTTAATTTTTAATTTATTGTGACCACAAATAATGCAGAGCTGGAAAGAAGGTAGCAATGGATTTGCGTCAGACAGCCTGGATTTTAGTACTGGCATTGCCAGTAATGGGATGTGAAGCAATTAACAGCTTTCTCGTGTGTAAACTAAGAAAGTTTTATTTATATGATTTCATACTTCAGGTGACTAAATATTTTTATGACATAAAGATAACATGTATTTATTGAAGAAAACTTGAAAAGTAGATAAGTGTATAAATAACAATTTTTTAAAATTACCCACACTCAAACAACTCTGATATATTTACTATTTTCTGTCAGAAACATTTCTTGTCTTTTTTCTATGTTTTGATCAAAATTGGGCTTATGCTATGTTCAGTTGTATAGTTTTAAGTGGATTGTTTCCCCATTCAAATGCCTCCTTCATGATACCCAGGATTCTAGTTTCGTTCTTCATGTATCATAATAATGCATTAAGTTTGTTTTTTTTTACATATATTATATCATACCCTTATCGAAGTAAAGGAAGATAGACAAGGCAGGTGTTAACCTCATTTGGCAAATGAGCAAACTGAGGTTCAGGAAGATGAGATTAGTTTCTCTAATTATACAGCCAGAGCAGGACAAGGACACTGAAGTCAAGCCCAAGACAATTTTTAAAATACTCATCACACCGATCTCATTTGACCTGAGTTCAAAACAGCAAACTGCAGTGTCTATCAGCCCGGGAGGGTGAACGAGTTTTGCTGATTCTTCTTCCTGCCAGCACATTTCTATGAGGAAGGACTGCTTGGCCCAAAAAATTAATTTAAAGTATGTGGATTGTTATATCTTAAGTAACCATTTACAATGCTGATTCTACTTAAATGTATTGTCCAATTATTTTTAATGCTTTGGCCCACTGTTGACTTTCTCCCTGGCACCACTATCACTTTGTCCTTAGTTAATTACCTGTGATAAGCTTCTGCATGACCAGTTCTGACCTCCGGGACAGTTCTGTTATTGCATTTGATTTAATGGATTATAATTAGCTACTCTCAAATCCAATCACGGTAATGAAATCCAGTGAATGGAAACTGGGAACTGATCCAGGACTGGTCTGTCATGGATATATAATGTCCTTCGTAACTTGCCTAAATTATCATTGATGATATTAAGGTCTAATTTTGACTAATTTTGAGTATCAGAACAATATTCATTCTGATTTTATGTTGTATTGTTGAATAATTTTGCAATGAGACGTGTTGGTGGCTTGATGTCAGATCACACAGTGAATCTGACTTCTAAGTCTCTAGGATGACAATGCAGCCCAGATGTGTAAAGGGAGTGGAGTGGGGGGGGGGGGCAGTGATTTAGAGATATTTTTGTAGAACTTAGCCTTAGTCTTGAGGCTCAATCCTCATTAACCTTTGCCCTTGCCTGTAACTGCCAAGAAATTATGAATCAACTGAGCAAGTCACCTGATTATCTCTCCTTTACTGTTGGCTGAGTGACCCTGCTGACCTAGAAGACCAGCACAGGGTAGAGTTCCCATGTTAGGAAATTCTAGAGAGTGCCAGAAACAACTTCTACTTCTGCAGTCTTTTCCCAGAGTCTTTTCATTCCTTCTTCCTCATGATGTACCAACCCTGCTTCCAGTCTAATTCACAATTTCCTCTCCATTCTGTAGCATTTAATCACTGACAACCCAGAGGTTTCTGAGAGAGGTGTTTTCCATCGCCACTCCTAGGAGCGTCATTATTGTAGAAGTGGCTCTTGAAGAAGAGAAAGTCGGTCTTGGGACTGAGTAAACAGAGTCTGGATCTGAGCTGCCTCCCAGCCACCCTCCTCTCTCTTGCAAAAAAGTCAATTCTTCCCATGGACACCCTGAGATCTTCAGGTGCGCAGAGTCAGATGTTCACAGAGGCTGATTATATCCTGGCAAACAAACTGGGCTCTAGAATAGATGGTGAAGAGCCAAAGTGACTCCATTTTAAAACAATAAAAAAAGCAGCCTCCGTTTTCCCGTAGCAGACCCGAGTCCTTGTAAAAGCGGGCATTCAGACATTCCGGAGATGTCAAAGCTTACCAGGGACAGCTAGCTCAGTAGACCAAGGACAGCACAGTAGAGATTGCTAAACAAAGTAACTCCCTGCGCCCAAAGCTTCCATGCTGTATGCAACTCTTTTTTCCTGCTGAGGTAGCCCTTTTTTCCTTTAAAAACTCTCCCAAACGAAGACCTGGGCCTCTGCTGGTTAGTTGGATGGGGTCCCTGTCGCGGCTCGTACTCCCGAATAAACCTTGCTTTCGCAGTTCGGTGTGATCGACTCTCTGGGGGTCTCTGCGGGGATCTAACGATCTGGGCACAACAATGGTTCCTCCTGATCAATCACGTATCCCAGTTACCATCTTGAAGGAGTAAAACAAAGTGGAGCCAGCAGCCACCCCAGGGCTTACCATTAAAGTCCATGCCACTTCTTCTGAAGGAGGCTGCAGTGTCTCTAAGCTCTGACAGGTCCATCCTTCTTCAAATGATTCATACTGAAATGTTGAGGACTAGAAGTGAAGCAAAAGGATTCGCTCTGCAAAAGAGGTATGAAAAAGAAAAAAATGGAAATGAGGCATCAGGTTCAAAAATGAGAAATCATTCACTATAGATAGCATAAAAATGGTTCATGTTCTTTATACTCCTTGTGCCTCCTTCTTTGTCTCTACCATGTCTGAAGTTTATGACAAACTGGTCTCAAGAACCTCAGACCCTAGAAGGGCCAACTTCTCCCATAGGCATAGAAGGCACACAATTCTTTAATAGGCCCAGAAAAGTGTTTTAATTTCTTTAAATACAAAAGAAAAATAGGAACATAATATTAATGAACTTTAATAATCAACCTAGTCTGCTTTATATTTGTGCTTGTACCAGTATAATTACAGGCATTTTTCCATAACTTTTTGAAAAGGAAGGGCCCTGTAAAGGCAAGAACCTCAAGTCAGTGACAGTCACAAGGAATGCCTGAGCCACAGAGCTCTGACCATGGCAACTGTAGAATGAGCCAGACCAAGAAGTGTCAAGTGGTGGACACTTGATCCCCTGAGAGCAATGGAGGGGGCTCAGTGGTGTCCAGCTGCATGCAGGAAGACAGCGTCACAGCCAGGAGACAGTGAGGTCAGGGAGAAGTTATTCAGATCAATGTTCAGCAACAGAGTGCAAAGCAACAAAAATGTGATATCCTGGCAGAGATGCGGTCTGGGAGTTTACAGATTACAAAAATACATGCAGAAAATTGTTTGGGAAGACTGACTGATGCAGGAGTAGGGAAGCCAGTCTGGGAGTAGGAGACAGATCGTGGGGTGAAAGCAGTAGAACAGATAAGTAAAGGAGTTCATTGGCTCAAGCAAGGCATATTCATTTTGAAATGATGGAATTGATGGACAAAATACCAAGGCTGAACAACATAAGTAAAGGCTCAGAGATGAGACAGAGTCATTTCAGGAGAGGGCAGAAAAAATGTTCTCCAGATGAGCTTTCACATTTAGGATTTTAATAAATGTAATAACAATATGAATGATATTACTAGACATTCAAATAGATAGAATGGAAGAAGATAAAGCTCTGAAAGTTAGGCTGAGAAGTTTAGAAAGAGATGACAGGAAATATACATTCTCTGGGCAAAGACCTACGGAAATTAGTATTTTAGGAAGATGGCTCTGGCAGCGTATTTTCAGTGAGCTGAGACAGGCTGAAGCTGCAGTGAGGGAGAGGAACTGCTCTCCATCCTCCTCCTCTCTTATGTGTGAATTCCTGATGGTTTGCATTCAGCAGACGGTAGAGCTCAGGAAGTGTGTTTGGGATATCAAAGATATCCAGAGATGTATGTGCATGTGCAGATTTCCTGGAAAGATACCTAAGAAATGGGTATCTGTCTGGGAAGTGGGAACAGGAGATGAGTGGGAGAAGAGAGCTGCCTTTGAATTCATTCAATTCTAGCCCTGTCTAATGCTTGTCTTGTGCTTATACTTTATAATCAACAGATTTATAAAAAGTAGTTCTTATTATAACATCCAAAGATAAAAACACCACATCAAGACATAAAGCACACAGCTGTGCAAATCTCCTTCCAAGTCTGGAACACTTAGCATATTTAAAGACTTACAAGAAGCAGAATGTGTAGGAGCTAGCACAAGATTGAAAGCAGAGACCTGTAGGTACCAAGAGTATGGATGACCTAGCAACAATTTGGAAGTAGTTAGCTGAGGTGATAAGAATGACTCAACTGAGCAAGAAAGCATCAGAATCCTCCTTTCTCTTTGGCACTCTCTAGCACCCACTAACCTCCTAACATCCCACAGACTTCCAGGCCTACATTGCTTCAATTCTAAACACATGGCTTTAAATTTTATAAAATAACACATTTCTTATAGCCTGATCACATCAATATTTTAAAATGGAAGATAAAAGACCCAAGCACCCAAAAGAATAAATAAATCAACTTTGACAGCAAAGTAAATAGGAATATTTACTCATGACAGAGACACACAGATGAATATCTGTCTACAGGTAGTACTTTTAGAAGGAAACACTAATCCATATATTGAGAGAAAATTATATTTGAGGCTGGAAATTTGGCATTTTTTTGCCATAATAAAGTTTCATCTAGGGCCATCTGTACATTGCTGTGAGTTTATCATTTCTAACTAGATGCTGGTTCTCCCTTAGAACATTCAAGAGCCTCATTCGGCAATACTCAAAAATATTATATTCTGGGATCACATAGTTATTCTTGTATGTATAATGAACATATGATTTTTCAACCAAACTTAGAGACATTATTTTGTACTGAGACACATTTGAGAGCTAAACAGGTGCTATTGGTAAGATTTTCCAGGGCGTGAGACTTTCAGTAGGAGAACTTAAGAAGTCCTGGGAAAACTGTGACAAGAATACAATTTCTCTTTAGGAAATAAACTATTTTTATATTGCTGGTATTTTCTGTGGTTATCTTCCTCTCCTTCTGCAGATATTTTCTAAAAATCCTTTTGAAAATTTTGCATTATTCTCTCATTTGGTGTAAACTTATTGTCCATCCACAATTGATTGTGCCAGGCCTAAGGTGTACAAGAATGGGAGGAACACTTAATCCCTTCCTTCTGAGAGTAAAAGATTCAGGTCAATGGTAGGAGTTCTTTTTATATTCAATTATGGCTACACTTCAGGGAAATTTGTGAACAGAAATTTCCACACCCCAATAAAAGGCAGTTATGGTCACATAGCAGAAGTCAAAATGAAGGAACGCAGAGTAGGAATGTGGAAGCACAAGGAAGACGTAGATTTTGCAAGCACATCTCCCAACTCAAAATTCTGAGCAGAAACTTCGCACAGCGTTATGTCTCTAACTCCACACATTGTTTTCTCACAGGCTGCTTCACTCCCTCAGTGCTCTCTGTTGGTTGCCCAGATGAAAGTATTCTCTCCTTGATCCTTATTGTCCCCAACATAGAACCCTTGGAATCATCTCCAATTCTTCCTTCTCTCTTACGCCCAAGTTTTGCTGATTTTGTATTTATAAGATGCTTATCCACTCTTAGCCAGTGCAGTTTAGCATGCTAGCTGAGACCACATTCTCCTCTGAGAAGTGCCTGGTCTCTTGCATAAGACACAAGCAGCTATGACATGTATGTCCTGACCCAGCTGATTAAACCAGGAATGAATATCAGAATAAGGGACAATCAGAGTGTCTTTCTGGAATAGAGATTTGGGACGTAGATGTCACTCTCAATTTGGGCTCTTTGCTTGAATGGAGTGATGCAAACCTGAGGGTTGAAGTTGACATTGTGGTACCATCATGTTGTGTCACATGCATGCTAACCAGTGAAAGCATCAGGAGAAAAGAGTCGTAAGAATGAGGAGAAGCAGCAATAAACAGCCATGCAAAGAGACAGATTGTTTGCTTCTATCTCAAATAGCTTCCTTGGTATCAGTGTCTCTGGAGATCTGGATTAATTCCTGCTTTGGTTTCCATAATACTTGTCAAGTAAACTCCCATTTCTTCCCCAACATTAAATTATCTTGAATGAGTTTCTGTTATTTGCCATCAAAGTAGCTTTAAGTAATACACTCTTTCCCAGTCTTTTTCCTAAAACAGGTTCTTATTTTCTCTTCTAAGATGGTGTGAAGATTGTATATAAAAGTCAGCATATTGTTTGCTGCAAAATAAAATTGCAATCAATCTTAACTCTTTTCATTACTGCTGAAGAATCATTCATACAGCCTTTGAATGCTGTGCTGAATATGTGAGAAGGTGGATTTGCTCTTTAAATTGCTCAGTGAATCTGAGGTGGGAAAAATTATCAGAGAGGATAGTACAATAGGGAAGTAAAGGGGGCAGATTTTCGTAGTGGCAACTTTGGCTGGGTAGTTAAAGGTGATTCAAAGGAATCAACTACCTGGACAGTACAGTAATCCTATCACTCAGCTACCATTCCTCTTTAGTTGGAGGTATACAATACATTTCTGGGGATAGGTATATAAAGCCATAGCACCTTCACAACTTAGGGCCTTAACTGTAAGCAAAAACACAATAGAGGCCTATTAAGGAAACTGTTTAAAGAGTTAAATTATTTTCTGTTACAACTCCAACAGTTTTTCAAGTTGGCTTCAAATTGATTAGATTCACTTGAGTTCCTCACCAAGGCAAGTTGTTATGCATGTTTACTTTCAAAGACTTGCACTGCTTGGAAACTATGATGCAAGTAATAAGAAGAAATATTAACATTCCTCTGAGTAAACAAACACTAAGCACCTCTTCACAAAACCTCTTCTATTATTTAAATTGGAGACAAAGTGCCTGAAAATGAGAATGGATTTATCCAGATGCCAACAGAGGAAGAGGAGAATTACCAGGGACTTAAATGATTCCAAACAAGTAGGAACATATGTCTCAAGGCAGTAAATGAAACTATTTGAGTTACAAGGTCCAGTGAATGCCACAATCTGGGGAAATGCTGCAAGATGCTCTTAATTAGGGACAGTACCGCGTAGACCAGTGATTCTTATGCTTCCTAATATTCATGCTGCTGGGATAACCATGTCACATGACTTAACCCAGTGAGGTTTTCTTAGCAGAAATTTCCTAAGGGCTTAGTCTTTATGCATGAATCTACACCAGCTACAACACCTGATTTTTATTTATTTATATGCAGTTTAGCTCTGCTAAGCAGGAGATTTAGAGACATTTATCTCCTTAATAGAAAAATGTTAAAATGTTGATTTGAATCAAGAGTATTACACAAATTATCGATTATTTGAAGACTTCCCTTGAAAGGGTGATTCTCATTGTGACTACAGGTCTCCGGGAAGTATGGTACACACTCCCACATTCTGCCTTCCCCACCTCTCCTTCTCCCAGCCCACCAGACCACTGAGATTCGAATTTTCTTCCCATTCCCACATAGAAACTGTTCTTCCTAATGAAATCCCAAGGATAGACCCTAACTTGGTGCTCTTCAGTCTTTACTCTTACCCACTTTCCCTGCAGCGTTTGGCACTCTGGAGCAAGCTCTGCTTGCTGGGATCCCTTCCTCCTTTTGTTCTCTCTCCCTGTGGTTCATTTACTAATTAAAGGTCCATATGCGATCAAAACTGGGGATTTTGACATTTCTCTTCAACTCCACCCTTCCCCTAAATCTCTTCTCCCAGCTTCTGCTGGTTCTTCTGTCCTGTTCAGGACTGCCTCTTCACGTTCGTATCTCCCAGTCTCTGAACAAAGCACTGAGCTATGCACTGACCTATTTGCTAGGTATCCAGAAAAAAAAAAAAAAAAAAACAAAACCAAACTTCTGATTAAATTCTCTCACTCAGTTTAATACATGCTTTCTCAGGATCTGTACATTAAGAGTATGTCATCAAAGAGTTCTCACTCTAGCAGTCACTGGGCTACAGAGATATAAATGAGTTATTATAATCCAGAGCGACAAATGCTCA